AATAAAAATGGAAAAGAAATACTGTGGTTTCATCAATATTCGTTGAGCACCAATTTTCGTGGATTTCGTTGTTGAGCAAATCCACGAATTCAAATGTTCATTGAATTACGAAATATGACATTCATTTGTACAGGCAATGCCTTTGATCACGAAAATACGTATCCTCGAAAATGTCTGTTTTACAAAATCCACGAAAATTGATGCCAACGAAAATTGATGAAACCACAGTATTTCTTTTTAAACGTGAAACACTTTTTGTCAATTTTTTTTTTCTTCAATTTTTTACGTGCTAAATCACGCCAAAAACTGAAAGAAATCCGTATGTTGGGGTATTAATGATGAATTTCTGGAAGAAATGGATTTTTCTGAAATATATTTTGATTATAAACAGGAATAAACATTTTTATGAATTGCTTATAAATGCTAATGGCAATTTATTATGCAAAACTACGCGATACTGGGAGTGTATTTTGAAATGGACTCCATATTTGACAAAGAATATTAGCAAAAAATCATACTGGATACTGAATTATGCTATATTTAGTATTCCTTAAAATCAATCATATATATCGAGTGTGGCATTTAGCGGAATTTGATTTTTGAAAAATGTACATTTCATAGTGTTCTTCTTTTGTATATGTGTTTATGCATGTTTGAATTGTGGAGGACATTTAGCGTGTTATATGAATGATCCAATACACTAAATGAAAGCACAACCAAATGTTATACCCTCTACCAAGTACAAGCTCAATCCTTGATAACATAATAATAGGGATATCATGAAAAAAAAAATCTATTTTTACCTAGTTTTGATATTTGAACAGAGTTAATGAATATTTTAAATAAATCAGAACTCGAATGTGCTTTATTCCTGCATCAAAATATACAAAAATAAAATAAAATAAAAGCAATTGTCTTATAAGAGTAATGCGAAGACCTCATTTTTATCTTATAAATATATAAACATATATATTGAGATAGGCATTGGAAAAAAAATAAAAAAAAAGCTATATTTGTTTTTTTTTTTTTAGATTTTATAATATAAAAAATACCACGAAATTTAATATAAACTATATGATAAAAATATATTAAAATGCATAAAAATTTCCTCCACGAACAGATTAGAGTTTAACTGAAAATATCATAAATTATTGTTATTATAGGCATTCGAACTTGTTTTTTTTTACATTGACAGGATAAATCCAGGAAACCTCAATTTTTTTCCGAAGTTCCGAAGGGTTATTTTTCCCACCGTGCCTATAAATCTGGACACCCCCTTCGTTGACGGACTGTTTGTATGTTGTACCGTTCAAGCTGCTAGGTCCTTGTAATTTTACCCAAACTCTAGATCTGTATCCTTTATAAGGATATAAAATCACTGGTTTCCGAAATTTAACAACAAACTGATAATCCAAAAAAATCAGTTTTCTTTATTTTCTAAGAAGGTGTGTCTGCGACATCGATCGAGTTTTCAAGCAATTTTCCCTCTATCGTGTAAGTATATGGAATCGACGTTCCTCCCCACATCATAAACCAATGAAGTTTAACTTTTCTGTTCACTGTAAATTCTAAACTGTCCACGGTACCCGTATAATTCTACCTTTCTCTCGTCCACTGCCACTAAAAACCGTAAACGTTTTATACCTCCGTTCCCCAAGATTGAATTTTGTGTTTCCTTTGTGCAGATTTCCAACAATAATTTGCTGCAAATGAAACATCTCCTCAGGAGTAAGTATTTTTCGTCCGCAAACATCTTTTACAAATGTTTTTAAACCCATGGACAGAAAACGAACTTGATAGATGATGTCCCCTGTCTCGTTTCTGATATTTTCTTCACACTTATTTGAAGATTTCTTCACGCACTGGTTTTCAGCCCATTTTATTAGAAAGTAATAAATTTCTAGTTCATCGATATATAAGTTATCGGACGAGACTATCTCGCTGAGTGTTTCTTTCATTAGTCCTAAGGCAGGGGGCGACTGAAAAACTGAATCAAAGTTTTGTCAAAGTAAAATCCATACATTTTTCTGTCAGATTTTCAAAGTTGAATAACTTTGCAGGTTCAACGATTGTACAGACAGTTTCCGTTCTAATATTTTGATCTAAATATGATTGCAATGCTTTTTTCAAGTCCTCAGTATCGTATTTATCAGCAGCGTACAATGCCACGATAACTGTATCCTCAGAAATATCAACATCACCGCAATACAGAAATCTAAAAACATATTATACATGTATTAAATTATAAGTATACATGTACATGTATAATGAACCTAAACTGACAGCTGGAAAATAAATCAATTACTTTAGCGAAATATCACAACCACTCCTGCGCATTTGACTACTAAATAACTTTTCTCAAATGAAAAATAAGTCGTGTATATTTTGAACATGAGTTTTGGCATATTCGAAAAATGCAAGCATTACATAGACCGCCAATCTGTTCTTACATGTAATGGAAGTTTATAATGCTACATTGTCTTTTATTTATTTATTCTGTTATACTTAGTAGTAATTTATAACTATAGCACTAATTATTAAAAAGTGATTAAAATGTTGCAGGTTGAAAAATGACATGATTATGTATTTTACACTGACTTTCAAATAGCCCAAAAGAATACTGAAATTCGCAGTACAGTTAAGGCAACACATGAAAAAAATATGGTAATGAAGTCATAATGAGGTCTGACGTCATGACAGTTGCTCCGCCCTGATTGATCCATATAAGGAAATGGTGCTCAAAATAACTATTTACCGATATTGGCAACAATTTGTAATAGATAACAATAATTTCATGTGTAAATAGAAAATAATTAGTGATTTTCTCGTATATAAAATAGCATGTCTTTAAAATAATTCTCTTTTTGATGTGTCCTTTGTCTGTATTCGACTTCAGCCAAGCGCTTGCACTCGGTGACACGGAATGTTGTTTACATCTAAAAACGTGGCGACATCAGCTGAGATTTGCAGTGGATTTAAATGCAATAACCACACAATCTATAAAGAAAATAGGGATAAAATAAGAGACAAGGCATTGCTTCTCCATTTTACAAGAATATGAGGACATTATTTCGGAAAATAGCAGAAAACTGAGACGATTTGCACCAGCTCTAGCTCAGTAGATCAACCACTGCACTGTAATTCCAGGTCAGTATATATACGCATATGTAGGTACATGTGTAGATCTACAATATGTAGACATGTTTTTGTTAACATAAAAAAAACCCCAAGTGTGTTCATGTTCATTTATATGTATTAGCACAGTCAGTGAAAAACTGTAATGTGTGTAACAACCACCCCCCTCATACTAAGTTGCACACTTTTTAGAATTATTGAAAATTAATTGCACTAAATATGTACTGAGTTCCTGTCAGTTAGCTCATTTTCTTTGAGACAATATGTGTAATAATGGAGATCATCAGTAACACAAATTTAAACTAATTTTCATTGTTTCAGTCAATGATTCACTAAGTACTGCAGTAGTGACTAGGCCTAAACAAGCAATGGTGTATTTTGACATAGGGCAAATATATGCTACACAATTTAAAAAAAAAAATATCCGTAACACTGTGTTGAAAACATAAAAGCCCCACTTCAGATCTATGGTTGTAATTTTCTAGAATTTCTAAATTAATGAAAAAAAAAATTCATTTTTTGTTTAGATTACATGTACATTAAAAATATTTATATACTACTTTTATCATTGTAGCTGTCCAGAGTTTCAGGCTTAAAGAGTGAATAAATAAAAAAATGCATCATTTCTCCACAGGGTATGTACACTTCTAAAGCATTTCACATTTTCAAAGTTTGCATGTGCTTTACATATTGGTTTTTTTTTCATTTTGGTAATATAAAAGGAGAAACTTAGAATTTTTTTTATAGAAAATATTCTATCAATAACTATTGTAAATGTCAGAGGTTTCACTTTCCCAGAGAAATTTTGTAACACATTTTTTTTCATTTATATCAATAACATAAATTCACTACAATATACAATGTAGCATAATTTGTTTTGTCAAATGTAATGCCATTTTATTCTACAATGTATATTTAGTAATCTCATAGCATATAACTGCATATATATTGTGTTGTAGGCCTAGCTATTCCCAGATGTTGGACAAATGGATTCATTCAGGCAGCAAGTTAATCCATCATTTAAGGAAAATGGTATGCTCAATATATTCTATAAACCATACAAAGTTTTGATAATAAATCTAACAGAAGAATTGAAAACGTGTAGCGGACAGTATATAGGGAACTTATACTGCCTCGCCAGTGAGCTAGCTTTTCTGGTGATGCGGTAGAGTCTCCCTATATTTCAGGCAAGTTAAGCAACGGTGAGCCTGTTTAACCCTTGGATGGGTGACCGCTTCACGTTACACATATATGTAAATTCTATGTTAAATGTTTCCATGCATTTTTTTATTTCATTTTTTAAACACAAATTACTTTCAATAATGGTATTTCCTGATTTTCTCATATTTTTCAGAATTCATTTTATCCACAAGAACATGAGGTGATGGAAATAATTTGCACCTGCCCAGCATTCCTACAGTCTGTCATTGGATTTGAAAAGAAATGTTTATTTAATAAATTTTCTAGATAAATAATAATTTGACTTTTTCATATATTTACTGTACAGGTGTTTAAAATGCCATTAAGATTTGAAAATCTTAACTTTCTTACCATTTTGTGTGGAGGGTACTAATGATCATCAAGATCTTTTTTCCAGCATGTGCATTGTGTTCATTTATCTTTCAATAATATTACCAAAAACAGGAGACTAGAGATCCCCCTAATTGATTCAAAATAGGATAGGGGACCACCATTTGTTCTGAGGGAAGGGGGGGGGGGGGAGGCGAGTTTTTCCGAGTCAGATTTTTTTTTTTCATTTTCATGTCAATGAAAGACAGATTAATATTAATTTCCAATCAATAAGATGAAGGACAGATTATTTATTTATTTTCCTCTTCATTGAAAATCCTACATGCAAAAAAAAAAAAAAAAAAAAAATGTAAAAAAAACTCTGATTCGTGGGAGGGGGAGATCACTGATCTGCAAGTATTTATTTTTAAAATCTGCCAGTCCCTCACCCTCAAAATAAAATAGTTGTCCCCTTATAAAACAAATACAGGAGTATACCCCAATTCTTTCTAATTAGTACCTAAAACTTATAACTTAGTTTATATCCCTTAATTAACAGTAAGCGGTCTGATTGAAAGCGATCGTAGAACATGACCTCATATGCAGAAAGAAAAAAAATATTAACACAAGTGTGTGTACCATAGGCGTCGGAAGCAAAATGAAAGGGGGCTGATTGAAAGGGGGGGGCTGAGCCAAAAGAAAAAGGCAAATTCCAATGCCTACATTATGTATATATAATTTGCAAATAAGTAGGGAGGCTAACCCCCTCCCTCCCCGGTTCCGACGCCTATGCGTACAGTAGTGAGAGAGGGGAATAGATATCTAATTAATTATTAATGAAGGCTATAATTTAATTAACCATTTGTGTTCTACATAAATATATCGGCAATATTTATACCTATTTGTGTGTAATACTACGTGTAACGTTATTTATACACATCGTTGAGGAAATGAGGGAGGTTTGAAAGACATTAAATGTATACAATGTATGGAGAACGAATACACAGAAAAGAAAGAAATCTCAAGGATTTTTATGCATGCCGTTTGATTTAGTAAAAAAAAGAGTCAAGTCCTGCCCGCATGTATATTTATTCTAAATTTACGAGGTCAACAAACTATATCAAGTACTCCAGAGTTATCTCCCATGCTGGGTCAATGATGCGTTTGAAAACTATAATTAGATTGACTCTTCCAAGATTTCATTTTTTAATCAAAAAGTGCAAGGGCAAGGCGACAATCTAAAAAGTAGGTTTTTATTTTAAAGTATTTATTTTATTGTATAGTTTTCAAAAAGTGATGCTCATTTCTTTGAAACCTTTTAGTTAATTTATAATTCGTGATGAAATTAGGAAAATATCCTATTTTTCATACATTACTGTCTGTTTTAGCTGAATAACTTAATAATATGGAAAAACTAACTGAATGAGCATCACTTTTGAGAAAGTATAGATACATAGAGACAACATAAAACATTGTGCAGTTAATTTTTTGTGTGTCTTGCCCTTGCACTTTTTGGTTAAATTTGACATTTCATTTTTTGACCTAAAATCGGAGCCCACGTGACTTCAGGGGGTCACATGATGTCAAAAAATACCGATGTGAAAAGCGATGGACATACTCTTCAAGATCACAAATAGCTGTTTTAACTAGAGTGTCTTGCTAAAAAATAAAACTGTTAAACATTATATGTATCAGATTCGGTGAGTTTTTATAGAAAATGTTGCCTTAACTGTACTGCGTTATGATATGAATCATTAAAATCTAAATTCTACCGTAAAAGAACATGGAATGCAGATGGATCAATGTCAGGAATTTAAATTTCATTAGCTTCCGCCAGGTCACCATACAACATAGCGTCAAACACGGGACTTCTGCTTGCCAGAACATGTTTATGAGCGCGAACAAGCTTCTCTTCTTTTCCCACCTTAAATGAGACATCACAATGGATCTCGTTTTCAAGCATGCATCTGTTACAATCAGCAACACTGAGGCCCGAACGCCAGTTTTTGGAAGTCTTGACTTCAGTCATCTGCAAAATACATGTAGAACTTGTCAATAAATGATAACGTTTTATTTTCAATAAATCGTCTGTACGAGTATTTCTAAAACATTAAGGATGTTTCGTTATAAAATGAAACCATTTGTATAATAAAAAATAATTTATTTAGACAAAATGTTAATCTAAAATATTCACGACTGAGTCCCCACACAAACATATTATATTTCTTATGTATAATTTTAAGATTTATGAATGCTCTTCATATATAATCTAAATGATTTAAAATTGTTATTCTTTTTGTTATTTTTAGCATTCCAGAAAAGGAAGGCAAAATTTTCACTACATTATATTTCTCTCAACTCATTCGATTTGAAAATATACGTACTTGGTATGTCTATTTCTACATGTAATAACTCAGTTAAAGCACATTCAAATAAGTAGATGATACAGGATTTTCAACAATATTATACAATTATTGCTGTTTTTGAGGTCAATACAATGATTTAGCCATCTAAGGAGTACAATATTCACCGAGCCCGAAGGGCGAGGTGAATTTTGTACTTCGAAGATGGCTAAATCATTGTATTGACCGAAAAAAACAGCAATAATTGTTTTATTATATGATTCACTGATAAAATTATATAGCTCATTATCTGGCATTTAATTAAGTCCTAGCCAAATATAAGAGAGAAGCAAAATTAAAATGTAAATAAACCTTACTAGTCGTAGCAATTTGATTTTTTTTTTATCAATTTTAGTTGCCATGAAAAAATATAATGTCCGTTTTTATAGGATAAATTTTGAAACGAAGGAGTATTATCAGGGAAAACTGACAGCCAAAAGGTAAAAACTGTTGTTCAATTAAAGTTTTGGAGGGAGTCACTGCATCCCCTCTTACAACCCTCACCCGAAAATATATATTCGCTTATGTTTCGTTCACATGAAAAAAGCCATTAGTTGTTTAAATAGCTTTCCAAAACGATTTGTATCAATTTGGAATTTCTCGATCTATTTTTAGATCAATGTGGAGGAAATAAATCCTTGTATTCACCTGTAACGTCACGTGCAGGTCAATACAACGTAGTATTTTTCTAACATAGTTGGATCTCAGCCAATCAGAGAGATGGAAATTATTCAATCATATAATAATCTTCATTATAAGTATTTTGCTAATTCATAATATAATGACCAAAGAGGGTGTTGCAGTTCTTTTGTTATTTTCCCTAAATGTGTAGCAGATCAAAAGAAGAATTTTAATGTCGCAGAAACTCATATTAATTTTTTTCAAATGCAACAATATAAAAAGCACTGGAAGTTGCGTATTCACTTCCAATTTGCCATTAAATGATGTAAAAATTCGTCTCATGGCAAAATTTATAAGATTTTCCGTTTTTTAGATAGGGAATCCCCATTATTCTGAAAAAGTGCCTCCTTGAAACAGAATAATTTTGATGTATACACAAAGAGGCAGGAATTTTCTTCAAAACTGCGGCGTGCCATATCCGATTTTTGTTTCAAAGAGGTATATTTTTGAAAAAACGCAAAAATTGAATACAAGTTATTCTCCAAACGAAATGTGCAAAATATGTACATTAAATACATGTAACACTGGAGAAACATCGTGTCCGAATGGCCTAGTGGATATGCTGGCGGGCTTCCATCTATTACTTTTACCAGAGAAAGGGTTCGAATCCTGAAATGGATCATTATTGCATATTTTTTTCATATGTAATGGTAGTGCAATGAAATTATCAATATTTTGAAAGAGAAAGGGGGAGGGTTAGATTGTCAAGAAATTTATTGAGTAGTAACTATATATTAGAAATGCAGGATTAAACTGTTTTCCTTGATATGCTGTGACTTAAAACTAATGTTTTATTATTTTTGTCTTGGAAAATGAAGTAAGTGTTGTTTAAATAGTTTATTTTTTACATACTGTAGTTATCGCAGTTTTGAATAATTCTGGTCTCTTAGTTATGGTAGCCAAGATTCGATTTGAAACAATGAAATGTCTTGGATGTAGCACCAACAGTGTGATTATGGGACGCAGTTTTATTTCAGGAAAATATTTTCGCACGATGTCTACAGTATATCTTTTAAAATGCTGCTTTAGACATTGTGCGTTTTCTTGTCCAACCTTTTTCCACCGACGATGACCTTTTTCGTGCAAAATGACAAAAGTGTTTTGCTGTAGGAAATAGGAAAATAGTAGGAAATACCCGCCGTGAACATAGTCGTCTACGTAGCTGTATCTATATTTAGACATAATGAGGGTATTTAAATGTCCTTCTCGATATATAGGGAATAATCGCGAGTTTCTGCCACACCCTCTTTGTAAATACTACTCAAAGTTTGGTCATGACTTGACTGACATGTTTCATATAAATTTATTGCATGATTATTTACAATGACGGGTTCAATACAGGGGGACATGGAAAAGCTTTCTTCACCACTGTCAACCCTCTGTGTGTCCATGGTATGTGGATTTTTCCGGATCAAGAGTGATATTATTATTCAAAAATGGTTTTACAACAACGAGAGTATTGAACAATTGTTTTCCCAATTAATTCCTTGATTTAATTATTCTAATGAATATACTAGTATTCAAATGACTTTTTTTTATTACTATGTATTTTAAATTTTTCGATCTACATGAAAACAATTATGTTATTTTTTCCCCATATATAATTATCAACAAGAAATGACACTTTTCGTCTTTTATATATCTCTGTGGGTTTCCTTAGTTGATACACGGAATAAAAAACGAAAGTAAAAAAATAAGTAATTGAAAAAAATGGAAAAAGTATTAACTAATACAAACACCAATATTCAATATGACGTATATTTTCACCCTAAAGACTTATGATACGTAACAGGAAGTAGGTTGCACTTGTCTCTTTTTAAAAATTACTTATAAACTTTTAATGAATTAAATTAAACTTGATAATATTACAAAGGAATTGGGATAGATCATTTTCTATT